TTCTTTTCTTCCTGTTGTCACTGATTCCAAATACATGCCCTGAAGTGAAAGCACACAAGAACTATATCAAACTGGTAGAAAGCAAGGAAAATAAGGCAGCAAGGCTAAAAATAATGTTTTCACAATTCACAAGGGGTTAGAAAAGGAAAACACTTCCCCATAGCCACCACTTCCTCTCAGTATCAAAATTGTCTAATGCAATTCTAATATAGCAGCCTTCCAATTAAATGGATTACCGGATTACTACCATACAGTGGAACTTACACCATTTTCACCACAGTAACTAAATTAAGTGTTTGAATATGTACTACGAGATCTCTTGCAAATTCAAAGATGTGATGACAGAAGCTACAAAAATTGATGTAAGCAAGAACTCAGTTGATCGAATCAAAAGTAATAGATCACTATCGAGATCAGTATCCAGAATAGGCGACTTCTATTACACCAATTTAATGTTAAATGTATTCGCAACCAAATCTATTACTATATAATAGAGAGAAGAAAAAATGTTTGAAAAATTATCCAGAAAAAATGTTAAATGTATTCGCAACCAAAATTCTGTAATTTGAATGGGTTCAATATGTTTTGGATGAGATTCTTTCCATATCCAATAAATTCAAGATCATTTTCATTTGGAAAACAGATTTTTATTTTAGCAGTATATTTGATTCTTTTTTTTTTTATTTGGAGATAATCTATCCGTTAAAACAGGAAATGAATTTGTAATTTATTTTGTCAAATTAAGTTTTTGAGCTAATCCTTCTATAACATGTTTGTGCGGATGGAATGCGGTAGATATAACCTCAAATGAATTAAATCATACCGTACCTAAGTTCACTTTAATGTATAAATCATTAGAATAATAAAAAATAAAAATTTTATAGATAACAAATAAATTTTTATCATAGCTTTTATTTTAAAAATAAATTTGAATTATTATACCTTTTACTTTATATGAAATTCAAAATTACATGTTTTAATATATTAATAAATATTTATTATTTATTTTTTCCTTATGTGATATAATCGAAATTCGGTATTAAATTTTTAAATTCAAACATAAAGAAAAAGATCCTAAACAAAATTTTTTGGGTAAATTTCATTTTATCTTGATTTTCATATAATCACATTCCTAACAAACTAATTAATATTATATTTTTTTATCTACATTATCTAATCGATTTTTTTATGATACAATTAATATAATATCTTAACTAATTAATCATTTATCTAAATGGATTTATCTCTCTAACAAACTTGCCAATTTTTTTGAAATTAAAATGGTATGGAGATAATTGACTTTTAAAAAATATAAAATCAAAACCGTAAGGTTTAATAATATTACTTAAAAAAATATTGTATAAAGAGAAGTGTTTAATAATATATGTTTTTCATTGTTTGTATTTATTTTATTTTCATAATAGACGAGATGTGAAAAATATAAGTAATTATATTTAAAATAAAACCTAAAAAAGTTTAAAATATGAGCTCCTACGTGCATCGCACGGGATATACACTAGTGAAGTTAATGTGGTAACCTAAGCTTATTTCGTAAGTTATTTTAAATGTTCCTAACAGCCCGTGTTCCATGGGAAATGGAGGATCACAAAAAATGGGGAAAACTTGTAGGACTTCAGTTCATAAAATCTCGTTGAACATAAAACAGGAAATCTAAACCGTATTTGAAGGGGGGAAAACATTCAAAAAGGACTAGGACTTAACTGCCACAGAACTCAGGAGCGCACATCAACACCAACAACATAACTAAAAGAAAATATACTCATACAGAGCAGAGGTCAATGGATGATAAATAGCCAATTGAATCAAATTATTAAAGCAGCAACATCCCATAAGAAAAAAAGCAAAAAAATAAAAAATACAACAGAAATAGTCACCAGGTTCATAAATTTATAGACAAAGAACCATACAATATGACAAATGTATATTTGAAAAGAGACCCCTTATTCTGATGAACACAACACAACACATCCTGCCAAACGGTACTCCCTCGCCCCTTTTCCACAGTAAAAAATTCCGAAAACCTAACCTCAAAAGATTATGTCTTCATCCTTCTCACCACCAACGCCGGCCAGGATGTCCCGGGCTGAATTTACCGAAACGCCCCTCTTGAGCGAAATCTCCTCAGCAATCTTCTCCTCCTCGAAAGCCTTGGCCGCCTCGCGCTGCCTCTCGACCTCCCTTCTCTTGTAACCCTGAATCTTCTTCAGCCTGAAAAAGTCCTCCCGCTCGAGCTCGTCCAGCTCTCCCTTGATGTAAGTTATCGTGTTCTCGAGCCTCGGTTTGACCACGTTCTCTAGAGCGTTGACCCTCCTGTTCGTGGTCTTTATAGCCTCGTCGAGCGTCAGGAAAGACGTCTGGAGAGTCGCCAGCTCAACAAGAAGCTCGATCGACTTCACGTAAGCTGCCCGGCAGGCCTGCACCTGCTGCCCGCCTCTGGCAAGCCCGGTTAGGTCGTTCTTGGTCTCGCCACCTTCTATGAAGTACTCGAATTTCGGGAGCTTTACACCTGCGATATTCTCCTGGTACGAACGGACCTTGAGGGCTGCTGACTGGACGTTTTCGCGCACGACATGTTTGATGTTCTCGCCAGCCACGTACTTGGCCTCCGTGAGGGCGAAACTGGAATTTCGCATCACGTCGCCCATGGATTCTTTTGTCGAGACGATGTTTTTGAGGATCTGGCGGAACTGAACAGTGAGGGCGTCGCTTTTTTTCTTGAGGAGGGCGTGGCCTCGAGTGGCTCCCACCAGACGGGCCTTCATCACCCCAAGCATGGTTACGGTGGGGACCACGTTCAGGCGCTGGGTTTGTCCGGACATCTTTCTTGGGATTTTTTTTTTCCTTTTCTTTATTTTTTACCTGGGTTAGATAGAAAATGTCACAGATAACTACGTGAAGAGTTCAATACATAAAGGAAAAGAAATTTGTTACAATCAATGGCAGGGCTAAATTTCTAAATCTATCGTTTTTATTGATCGATACATCTTTGTTGAGATTTTGTTTAGTTGAGAGGGAAAATATCATAGATGTAACTACAGAAAGACAATGTAGGAAAACTGTAACTACAGAAATTCGCGAAAACTGGATCTTTAGATACTTCAAATCCTCTGTTGTCTTACAATTTACGAGTCATTCCTATAAAACCAGATACAAAACCCGATACAGCAAAACACTAAGCATGATGGATGTTACAGCTAATGGCACGCCTACCCATTGTGAATAGCCTCATCAACAAAGTAGATGAATCAACTCGTAGGAGTAAAGATTGCAAAGGTAACAGACAAAAGCTAAACAAAATTCAGAACATTGACAAAATTCCCAAATCAATCTTCTTTAGCCCAGCTGAAATTAGCAAAATTTTCAATTCAACAAAATTGTCCAATATCAGAAACGGAATCCCAAAATATGGGGGCATTTTTCTCGTTAGCGATCTTCCTCTAAAACTACTGATGTAACAACAGCAAGCGGGTCGTTTTCGAATGATCACACAGATTATCTTTTAGATCCAAAATCAACGAATCAATCAATCAAAAAAGAGATCTTCATATATTTAACACAAATTTAACATCGACCCAATGTCAATCAAGCTGAAACGAATTGCTAAAGGGAGAGAAAAATAACTCTTCCCAACACAATACAGATCCAAAAACCTCACAAGAACAGAAACTAGAGAAAACGAATCACATGTGCTAAATTACTGCTTAGAACAACAAGAGAGAAGAAGTAATTAGGGTTTTGAAAATACCTTAATCGAGACGTCGGAGCACGGGGCCGAGATTTCGCAATTTCAGTGGGTAATTCGGTTTGAGTTTGACTTGGGAGGAAGGATGACGAAGGCGAGTTCGAATCGTCGGTTATGTGGCAGATCCGATCATCTGAGCGATAAGAGTTTATAAATTATAAGGGGCCGGCGCTGGGGAGGGAATTGGTTGAAATAACCTGTACACATAACAAATTGGGTGAAT